AAACCCTGAACCGGAACAAATTCCAGTATTGCCCTAGACCTTGGAGATAGATGGGCAAAACTGGAATATTACACCTGACCCCTAGACTCGATTATGGTACTGCACTAGGTGTCGGATTGGGTTGTTTTTGATATACCAATCAGTGAGATCCTTAGAGGGGGTCAAAACCTATATATGTTGGGACAGTCTGAGAATTCACCTGAGTGGGTGATCACAGTGATCGGATCAACCCCTTTGTTGGATAAAGTGAATGATCGGGGAATGCACTCTCTTTGATGGAAACCTAAACTGCTAGTAGTGGATTACAAATGTGTTTGAAATTTGTTTTACAAAATATATTTATATAGAGATATACTTATATGTTATGGTTTCACAAAATGTTTGCAAAATGTTTTAATTCATGGGATCCATGTGAATAGAGAGTGCAACACTGTACCTTGCAGCCGAGGAGGAGGTCCTCTCTTGCTGGGTAGTGTTTGATCCTTAAGGGCTGAGAGGTTAAGTGTAAGACTATTGAGGGTTATACCTGGTGGGTTAATTTTGCATCTGCCCACAGTCTTTGGGCCTTCATAAGATGGCTGAACCCAATGACCATTTAGTGTAAATGTTAGGCCCATTAAAAACCCATGCGTAGGTAGTTTTCATCATTAATCTCTTTGCAAACTCAAACTAGGAAAATATCTCCATGGGGGAGAATCTCCACCCAATAGACAATTCATAACAAGCTAGGGGTCACCCTTTATCCACATATTCCTGAATCCACATTAAGCTACTATGTTGTGTGCCTCCATTGCTACACAACACTCCACTACATTTATAAAGGTGATTCCAATTTGATCTACTTTCACTTTTAGCACCTGACCTAATGAATCCCTTGCAATGCATCCAAATAAGCAAAAGACATTTGATTTAAAGAGAGTATCAAAATTGACTTCCAAAGTTCCCTCCCTATGATGGTTCCATCTTACCCATTTTTTATGTTTTTTCTTTCTTTTTTTTTCTCATTTTGTAAGACAGAATTAGCATTTTCATAATTAGTGCTTTGGTTGCGATATCAACTAACCTTGTTGGCCTTTCCCCTTTCATTTGAAAAATCCCAGTTGCATCTATTTTTCCAAATAAACCATAATAGGAATTATTTTTTTTCCAATAATGTGGCCTCAATTTATGAACTATTGGGTGTTTGATTAATTGATTACATAGTTGTACACATACATTTTCATTTGAAAATGTAACTTTCAAAAATTTGAATTCTCCTCAAAAGTGTTGACTTTTGTTTTATCAATTTTGTACATTGTTTCATGTTGGAAAATTAGAAGACCTTTTTTAGCTTATTAATAGAAGCTTGTTCACATACATTAGAAATATATAATGGGGAGTATAGAGACATGATACTTGCAACATATGCACACGTGTGTGGGGGCATTGAATCACTTTAGAAATGCATTTTACACACATTTGCGTGGTCCACAAATGAATACTATTAGATGACGTGTGATGTTGAAACATGGTTATTGATGTTTAATTTTTTAATCTAATGGTTATGGCTTGATTTGGTGTGATTAAGAGATATAATTTAAATTGTAATAGTCATTAATTGTTAAAACTACTAATAGTGAACAATCAATTTGAATTTGTGATTGTACTAATAACCTCTTACCAAATATTTGGAACATTTCTAGATGATTCCCCATAATCTATAAAAGATGGTGCAAATTAAGTCATTTTTACATATATAATTCACATATATAGATTCTATAGTCTCTCAATTCGAATTACTACTGTTTCATAAAAAAAATCTCTTTGAAAATTCTTCAATTTTAATGGTTATAATTTATTACTAGATGCTTTGTGTCATGGGAATTATTTTATTTACAACCTTATAGCAAACTTAGACACTTAAGTATGTGCAAATAACATTCTAAAGATATTGTCTTTAGATATGTTTTAGGGCTTTGCCTCCAATATCCTAAAACCACATCTATAATAGAGGCATCTCCCATTGCCTTGGTTTGTCAAATACTATACTTGTGTTAGTATTTAGACTTTATTATTGATTCTGAATGACTCTCTCTCTCTCCCCCTTCTCTCTCTTCATCTTATAGTTGTCTCTGGGCTCAACTTGGGAAGAGTGCAAATGCAAATATATATAGTGCATATACAAGGTTAAGAAATACAATATGCAAGGTTTCTGTACTGATCATATTTGTATTTGCACTCTTCTAAGACATAACCTATATTTGTTTTGAAAAAGAGAGCAAAATTAATTTCTTTAGATATGAGAATTGTAATTCCTCCTTATTCATTAGGTTGTGTCACTTTGTTCCATGCTACTATAATGGTTATTCTCCTCTTATCATTTGTGCTTTTATAAAAAAAATAGCTAGTTATTTTAGCTCCACTATTTTAAGAGGTATTTGGCAGTTGCATTGTTGTTTCCTTTGAGTTGATCAATACAAATTTATGTGATAGACTTTTTCAATTTGAAATGTTTTGAGTTGATCAGTAGAAATTGCTATATAACATGTCAAATTTGATGTTATGAGTGTGAGCACATATTTTTCAAGAATTTGTATTGATAAACTTGAAATGAAACAACAAGGAATGCCATTGTACCAAGCACCCCATTAGATGGAGGCATTGCCAAGGTATATATACTTAAGACAAGAGTAAAGCCCGTTAACCCTCCATCTTTACTTTATTTTGTTAATGCTAATTCAACATGGTATTGCAATTGCTTATCAAAATAAGAAAAAATGATCATTACTTAGATATACCCTATAAGTTTAGGAAACTACTTAAATTTATCCAATATTCTTGTCAACCTTTCAAAGGTTAAGTCTAACTAACAAAATTTAAAAGACAATTATGCCCTTAATTGCTCATTTGATTTTCATAAAATTGCACTATGACTATTAAGACACTAATAAATTGTCTAATTGTGACAAAGATTGGCGTACCCTAGAGAAATGGTTGACGTTGGTGAGCAATAGTGATATGGGCATTGATGTAGGGATATCTAAGGGATTGATGTTGTTGTTCAAAGAGAAATGGTCGATCTACATTGCTAAGATGGCGAAGCTTGTGTTGTCACATGAGATGGGACTGTGTACAGAACGTTCTAGGTAGGGGTGAGCATAATACAATTAAAACCGAATAACCGAATAAAAAATTTTGGTTTTGTTTTTTGGGTTTTGGTTTCAGTTTTTAAAATTAGAAATTCAGTTAACTGAACAAACCAAATCAATCAAACTTTGATATATAATATGTAATATATAATATATAATATGTAACATATATTGTATAATTTATTACATTATTTATTAATATATAATATAATGATTTTGCTTTCATAATATATATACACACACTATTAAAATTCAGTTTTAACCGAAAACCGAACCAAAAATTTTGATTTCAGTTATTTTTGAAATACTCACCCCTAATTCAAGGGTTCTTAAAGAAATTAAGGTTCCTAACATTGTCTCTCACTCGGGATTCAATGGAGGTTAGGACAACAATGAAGAAGAGAAGATGATCTACCACCAATACATGAACCTTTGAGATTCCAAAAACATGGCATGTCTGTGTTAATTGTTTAATTAACTCAAAGAGATGAATCCTAAAACTAGCGGCAATTAGGCATTGCGCATCATTAAAGATGGAAACATAACATTGGTTATTGTTCCACCACAACCAAGAATTTTCTTTTTAGCTAAAGCATCTAACAAATTATCGATGTGAGGAGAGCATCAATTGTGGACAGTTTATAAGAAGGAGATGAGCAATTTTTAGTGATGGTCGGCAAGGATTTGATGCTTGAGTCATTTTTTTTTTGTTGCAAAATTTGCATGTGTTGGTGTTGGAAAATGTAAAAATATGCTTGTAATGGCCAGATTGGCAATGACCAGGATGAAACTTTTTTTTTTGTTTTTTGTGAAAATGAGGAGAGAGAGAGGACTAAGTAACTAATATTCATTGATTCCTTTAGATTATGTTTGGTTTGAAGGAAAAAAGGTGGAGAAAGGAAGGGAAGCTTTTACAAGCTTACCTTTCCCTAATTTTTCCTTAAAATAAAACACAATCTAATAGAAGGCCTATTGGTATTATGCCAAGTATATATTAGTAGTTTTTGAAACTAAGGTTGTGTTTGGTTGTAGTACAAATTTCTTTGTGCTAGTATAAATCAAGGTTCAAAATATCGATACGCCCGATATGTCGATAGGGGCGTATCGGGTGTTTTGATACTTGTTTTCTTACTTTTTTTTTATTTTTTTTTTCAAAACTGGTTGAGGGGAGCCGGTCTAGGACCCTTCCATCCCCTAAACCAGTCAGACCCCTGATACACCCACTATAGGGGCGTATCGGAAGGGTCCCGGAACGATACGTATTAGCCGATATGGGCCAATACGTAATAATACTTTGAAGCTTGGTATAAATGCATGAGAGCGCAAATGACAATAATGCAAATTTTAGCTTAATTTTGTTTTGAGTTTTACTTTATTCTGTTCCATATCTTATTTTACTTTATTTATACTGCAATAAAACAGGTAAAATTTGAAATAAAAATAAATAAGAAATTGCACTACTGTACCTTTGCATCAGTATAAATTTATTTGCAGTGCAACCACAGCCTAATGGTAAAGGGTATATAATTGGGTCAGGCCCGATTGCAGTATCAATGGTTTAGAGAACAGAAACTGATGGATTGATTCCGGTTCCTGATATATTTTCCCCATTATTATCGATTTATTATAATTGGGTCAGACCCGATTGTCATGTAAACCATCGGTTCGGGTTTGGGTGCCCAAAATTATATGCCTTGGCTCCGATGCTGGGACCGACCCGTCGACAGCCCTAAAAATAAACAAATAAAAATTAAGTGACACTTGTGTGAACCGATCCGATCTGTTTCATGACGGATTTTCCTAACCGGGCCAACTAGAAGTATTCATTCACGGATGCAGCCGAAAACGCAAAAAGTGCAAGGGGGATAACAAGCTCCGTTTTCCGGTTTCCAGGTAGGCTACTAGCCTACTAGGCTTGTAATTTGGCGGGTGCAGGTTTGCTCTTTCACCAGCCTCCCTCCCGCCATTCCTCTGATCCCCAAAAACAGAATGGAAAATTTGAGAAGATTGGTGGGTGAAATAGCTCAGACCAGACGCCAAGACCTCCCCAAACTCTCCCCGCTTCAACGCTCTTTCATTCCCTTACTATCTTTCTCCTCCATTATCTACGGCTTCGCCCTCTTCGTGCGTCACCAACTCTACTACTTCGGGTTCTTTCACAGACACAGGTAATACCCCTCCTTTCCCTAGTATCTACTCATGTTCTTTCCCCCTCTCGCTTCCCGTCATTCTTTGCAATCCCAAATCAATCGGTGAAATAAAATCTCTCATGCTTTGATAGGCTGCCCGTGCCGGTGATTAGCGTTGGGAATCTTACTTGGGGAGGAAATGGAAAGACACCAATGGTCGAATTTATCGCTCACTGGTTTATTAAATCCGGAGTTTCCCCTCTCATTCTTACCAGGGCAAGACTTTTTGACAATATCAATTCCTTGTTCCCATAAACTTGTTTTAGAGACGTTACTAGAGTTTTGGTAGCAACTTTTTGAGTCGCCTAGTTATAGTTTTTTCTTCGTTAGCGATGCGGTTGGAGTGATGGGAAATACGGATTTAAGACGATTTCTTTTTCTTTTTTTTTAGCAGGGTTATGCTGGTGGGGATGAAGCTAAGATGCTCCAACGGCATCTCATTGGAACACCTGCAAAGATTGGTGTAGGTGCAAATCGGATTGCAATTGCAGCTTGCTTTTTCGGCAGATACGGTTACTTGGATTCCCGTAGTAGAAAGGAATGCTTCGATAGACTTCATACCGACCTAAATGTGGAAATGAGGTCCAATACAGATAAAATTGGCGCTGTGATCCTGGATGATGGACTGCAGGTAATATAAATAAACGTTTTAATTTTCGAACTCCTTTAAATATTTCAATCTCGCACAGAAGCATGATCTGCTGTTGGTATCTTACGCTTGCTTGGGAGGCAGCATTGGCGCTTACATCGGGACCTAGAGATTTTAATGGTAAACGGGATGATGCCGTGGGGAAACGGTCAATTACTTCCACTGGGACCTTTAAGGGAACCATTGAGTGCGCTTAGTCGAGCAGATGTTGCCGTTATCCATAATGCTGAAATGGTATAGAATAACAGGAACCCACATCTCATTCTCAGTTTTGGTTGGATTTGAGCTGGCTTATGCCAAGATATTTATCTTTTTGTACTGGGGTTTCTAGAGTGTAAGCATTTCCGATTTTGTGTATTGTTTTCTGGGTCGGATTAATTATTTTGTTCTTTACATCAAGACTATCCAGAAATGATGCAGAACAAAAGGCAACGGATAAAAGTCTTTTTTTTTCATTTAATTCTGGTGCAGGTACCTAGTAGGGAACTCAAAGACATTGAGTTAATGATACGAGAAGTCAAGAAGAATCTTCCTATTTTCCTTACTAAATTGGCCCCCTCATATTTCTTTGAAGTCAAGAACTACTGTTCTAAATTGCCATTAACGGTGGTGTCTCATATGGCTGTTTTTTGTGTCTCTGCCATTGGTTTTGCAAGTGCCTTTGTACAGGAAATCGAGAAGGTATTCCTCTTCATTTCCATTTTATGGCCAATGCACTTTATATGAAATGCTAGATGCATTAAAGTATTGATCTTCTGTAGAAACAATGAGTTTGATCATGTAATTACATTATGACCATTTTTATTTCTTAAAAAGCAGTATTGACTGATCTTAGGACATATGGTAGAAAAGGAGTGGTGTTAAAACTCAGTTTCTGAAATTACATGCAGTGAATGTTGTTCAATTGCATGCAGTCCAACCAGGATAGACAGGGAACCTTTCCAGGGAAGATGCACCGAATGATCCCTGAAATGAACATGCATGGCTCTTGTTGGAGTTGATGTGCATTAGCCTTTTCCAAATTTGTTCTTCTTGAGGGTCTTACATAGGTATGCAGGACAGTTTGCATAAGTTAAGAGATTATTGCTATTTTGATCACATTGATAACAAAGAAGGATGATTAACGTGAGACACATTAGGTATATAAGTTGTGGAGATAGTTTAGATAAAACATCAGCAAATTAGTAGCATTGAGGATCACCAATTTGGGTAGAGCTGAATCTAAATGTTGTCCAGGTAAGTATCTTGTTAGAGTATAGTAATGAATCTTGTAAGCCATCCCCAGGGTGGTGGACCTGGTGTTGAAGGTAGGTCCCCAATTGATTAGGGTAAAAAACACAATTCATTTCTAGATAAAAAGTTCATAGATTAGCCTTTTTTAGCAAAAAGGAGCTTATTTTTTGTTTATCCTTTTTCTTCACTTGGATCTTTTTCCAACCTTGAGCACATGTGATACAGCTGTAGTCAGTTAAGTGAAACCTAAGCTGAGAAATGATTTAATCATGAAGATAAACTTAATGGCAAAGGTCATAGTGCCAAGAATTGTATACATTACAGTTTGGTATTTTTTTTTTTTGCATCTTCCATTTTCGATATCTGATAGAAGGTTAGAGAGATCCTAATTTGAATTGCTTGCCCTTTCTCAGTGGAGGTCCTCTTTATATATTGGATTCCATTCATTAATGTTTGTCAATTTTATTAAGTACACAACAAGAGTCAGGGAAGTGAGACTTCGAAATAGTTCACTCCTATCTACTCTCTTCTTTCCATGTTGGAGACACTGGAAGGGACATATACATCAGTATCATTCTTCAAGGAATATTCACTCAACAGAAGGGTACACTATCATTTATTCTTGATGTTGATAATGCATAAAATGGGGAATATGATATTATGCCATTCCTAATCCTTTAAAATAGAGTTCTTTTTTCATATATTATTTTCCTTTATAAATATAGTTTACCTTGTTTTCGTTGGATGATCTCCTTTGTTTCCCCTCCCTTCTGCATATCTCATTACATTTCTCAATTAAAAATGCTTTCATATAAATTCAGAACAAAGGACCATTCTAATGGTGGAATAACTTGCTGCAGATGGGACCTTTGTATGTTGATCGGCTAGGCTTCAGTGATCATCATTGGTTTCAATATAAGGTGAGAAAATTTCTCAACCTATCTTGCTTTCACTAGGCACTTCCCATATATATTGCATGCTTAAATTCATTAGAAGGGAATCCTAACAGTTTGTATTTAATGTATAAATTGCATAAAAGGAATAGCAGTTGTTGCTTGTTCTAATTTGAATAGCTCGTTTATTTAATGTATGACATTTGATAATGCTGTTTTATTTATCATTCTAGGACATCGTGATGATGAAACAGAGACTTAGAAAACTTCAGGATGAATTTGGTGCCATGCCAATTGTTGTGGTGACAGAAAAGGTTAGTTGTTGGATCATGGTTTCCGGTTTAAGATGTGAAACATATGTAACTACATCTAACATGGTTGGTCTGTGTTGGAAAATAGAGGTTCCACGTTCCACCTTGATGTTTTGATGAGTTTTCACACTTCTGGCCTCTTTTATATAAGCAGGATTATGATCGAGACCCATTAATTCTAAGACTTATGGATCCTTACAAGGTTCTGGTACTCTGCTGCCAATTGCAAATTGTGCCTTCTGGAGGGCACACGGAGAAGTGCTTCAACAAGTTGCTTAAACAGTTTATGGAGGTCAACTTTTCATGAGGTGAGCTACTTTCTTGCCACTTACACCTTTTCAGATTAATAGTTTTTGGTCCAAATGCTGTTTTACCGTATTGGGCATATTTAGGAATTGAATTTAATTCTTAATTTTTAGGCAGAAGTGAAAATATGATCTGGAATGGAGCTTCTAATAAGGGGGAGAGTGGATCTTTCAGATTTTGTGGAATGAAGAAGTGCCTTAATCAGTTAATTGTAAGTAGAGTACAAGAATGAACAATTCGGATGATTCAAAAGCCATTTCAGTGGTTTGTGTATAGTGCTTTTTCTCTCGATTAAAACTATTTTTGTAAACAGCAATACAAATCAATCCTAACTTGTTTTATTCACAGCTTATCCCCCATCCCCCCAAAAAGAAATTGTATATTCACAATGTACAGTTTTTTGAAGTACATGAGCCTGATGTATTTTGTTCCTTTAGATATGCAATAGCAATACTATTCAAAAAAGAAAGAAAAAAAAAAGAAACAGATGCAAGTTACCATATATTAGTAGATGAAATGATGCCGTTTTTCAGGTTGCAAAATGCTTTGCTGAAATTTCCAATTTTCAGGTTCCATTAGGTTGTGTTTGGTTTGAAAGAAAAAGGAAACTTCTTCCTTGATAATTTCCCTTCCTTTTCCATCCTTTTTTCTTTTAAACCAAACATAGCATTAAAGCGTTGGGTCATGCTAATAGAGAGTCTGGATCTTCTCCCTAGGCCCAGAGTGCTCTTCACACGTTTTAGCCGCACATCGGGAACATCTCCCATCCTTGTATGTTGTTATTCACGGGGACTGGGAAGGCGTTCCGAATTCGCTAGCACCGACCAGCCATTCCCGTGGGATGTCCAATGAACTCTGGCTGGTCGTAGCAGAGCTTGGCATCAAATCCTGATTGAATCGGGAATCCCATGTTCACTGGGGTTTGAGGGGAGGGCTACCCCTTCTGTGTAGTCAATTTGCTTGTCAAAAAAGGAAAAGAAATAGCTTATAGAAAACCTAAAGTTTAGGCTTTAAAACAGGTGTATGACAAAAGGGGCAATTTTATGTACAGATATGTTGGCAAGATCAGGTGTAAACAGAGTAATTTTATGTATAGCAGTGATGCCTTGATTTGGTGGGCATTTTTCTTTTTGTATGGCCTTTTTACTTGTTCTTATATAACTTTCTTCAAATAGACCAAAAAAGAAAAGGAGGCAATTTTAAAATAGAAAATAGGATAATTTAGGCAATTCAACTTTCAAAAGATGCATGGAATACTACGAAATGATCATGCATTGCTATACATCCCATAAATTCGCTGGTAACATTAAACTTTAGATTTTTTATTTTTGATTATATATAAAGAAGTATTAAACATAAAAAACATAGCAAGCGGTGAGTCAATTCCCTTGTCTACTGAATGGAGGTTGGTGCCACTACCTATGTTAGTGTTACACTGCTACCGATCACCAGTTGGATTTGGTGAGTCTCGTCAAGTAGAGAGGATACGGCCCTGGTGGTAGACTGGTAGCCAATGCTTGGGCTTTTCCCTCACCAACTCCATTGAAAATTGAATATCCAAATAACACATTTCAGATTCATTTCGAGCTCCACTAAAATGAGGGAGGGATGAGAGATCTCCCTCCATTTCGTAGTCGGCAAGTATAATTACAGTGAAAGCCGAAAGGAGAACAAATCCGCTTCTCGGTTCTCACCAACAAGGCAACAAAAAAGTCCAATGTCATTTAAACAAACACATTGACGTCTTCATTGCTTCTTATTACAAGAAATAAAACATTGAAATAACACTTCACCTAATCGATCAACCTGGATTTCTAACTCATTACTCCATCTCCACTCTCTCCTGTTTTCATTGCCTTCGCCGCCGCGTGACGTGAAATTCTGTTCTTTTGATCCCATTTCCGACCAACTGATTTATTTTATATTAGACCTCTCTCTCCTCTAACTTAAGCGGTTTTAGACTCCAGGTCGGACAGGTCAAGACCATGGATAAGTGGGTCCCTTTTTGATTCCATGATCGTGCCACGTGTGCACTAGAATATCTTGCCGTCCACTTGTCCTATATTTGTGTTGCATGTTCCTTTCTCGACTTGGTCCTAAGAACACAAGAAAACATCTCTCTTCTCCCTTTCGTTCATCTGAGACAAGAAAACGTGCCGCCAGCGCTCCGCTCACCTATAATTCTCCTCTCATTCATTTCTTCCTTTTGCTCTTCCCTCGTCAATCTCTCACAGCACTTGATACTCTCCAGATGTCTTGTGCGGTTTCGCTTGAAACTTCATTCTACCGAAATAACTGATTTTGATGGCTTTGAAGTCTGTTGCTGTTTGGGGTTGCTCTCTTCCTCACTTGGGGAGGGGTGATTCTGGTTCTAGGCGTTTTGGGCTAGCTTTGAATTGGAGGAAAGAGACCGATAAGTTCTGCAAATGGAAATGTGGTAGTGTTTTTGCGGGCTTGTCGGCGATTACGCCTGTTGAAGATGAGAGCCCGACGTTACCAGCGGTTGAGTTGCAGCAGTTGACTGATCAGACGGAGAATGGTTCTACAAAATTAGTAAAGGATTTGAGCTCTCTTCCAAGTGGGTTATGCTTTTCCAATTTGTTCACTTTGTCATTCATTGTTATTATTACTTTCTTTTTTTTCAATAAAGATTTTTCTTAATTTCTGTAATTACTTAATTTGACAGATAAGTTACAGAATAAGAAAATTTGGAACTTATACATGGTTAAGAAACAACTTCATGATCTCATTGTGAATATTTCTTGTCATACTTGGGTGAATTTTAGGTTGTCGTTGCGTTAAGAGGTCAGCTATTACTTTTTTTTCGTGCATATTGGTGCCTATTCTCCTATTTTGAATTAATTCTTTTTAGGGGTTAACTCGTTTTTGTGCTTGTGGATACATTTTTTTCTTCTTCTATTTTTGTCTTTTCTTATTTCTCCTTCGTCCGGGGATTTACCTTTTCCTTTCTCCTGAATTAACTGTTTTAGATTCGTCCCTGTATGCAGATTCACGAATCAACCTCTCGCAATTCTCAAAGTATACATAGATAAATATTATATTATTAGTTTACTTTTGTTATTGATATTCAGCTCGTAAAAAGTTAATTTTACCGAATATGCTAATCAAACGAGATCATCTTCATTTGAGAAATAAATATGTTGTTTGTAATGGGCTTTGCATTATTCAAGAAAATTTGTTTTGTGCCTGCAACTGCATTATCTCTGTTAATCCAATCATCGGGAAATCATATGCAAGGTATTGAAGAAGGTTTGATTTTAATGGCCTCTATAATCGGCTAAGTTTTGATCTGCATGTATTTAGTTAAGTTGGGATACTAGTCCCCAATTCCCGGCTAAGGAGTCATGGTCGAAGTGCTTTTTGAGTTTATTGCGTTTAAATATCTTGCTTGAACAGAAAGTTCAGTAATGGGATTGGTAGATCTAGCTATCCCCCACCCCGTCAACCCAATAACCTCATGCTTTCTGGACTTAACTGTACCTCCTTGTAAATGAGTGTTTTGTGTTCAGTTTTCAGCTTCAGGTGAAAACTTTGCTAGGTTTACTTGATGCTGGATATCCTTACATAAGTTATGTCAGACATGAAAAATTTACTCTATTTTGGTTTACTATATTTTAGATAAATACTTGCAATTTGTGCAACATTTATAGCCTCTTATCCTAAAAACTGCAAGTAGAAGATTATGTCTCATCTTGCAATTAGAAGACTGGAACTTACCTATAGAGAGGAAACTGGTATAAGTTGTTAAGCTGAAATGATCGACTTGACCCTTGGGTCTAGTTTGGCGTAGGTTGTCTTAAAATTGGAGGTTCAAATATTCAACCATAGTCTTATAATTTCAACAGGAGTCTATGGTTTGGTAAAGCATTTTCCTGAGTCTAAGTTAGTCACACATAACTTTTGGTTATTCCTTGTCATGTCATCATTGCCGAATCTTGCTTCAGTGCCAGTCTTTGTTTAGTTCTTTTTAAATTACTGTGATGTACATCAAGTTTTCAGAGGGTGTGTCCCATTTCATAATTCTAATATTTTGTATGAATTGTAGGGCCATTATCTGTATCTGACCTTTCTGCTTCCCCAAGTGATGGTTCAAAGGTGCGCGTAGCATATCAGGTAAAATGCTTATGTTAGTTACTTGCACCTCAATGATCCTTTCTTGCTTGTTCTTATATTGGTTATGTCAACTGATTGATGTAGGGGGTCCCAGGTGCGTTCAGTGAGGCTGCTGCTCTCAAAGCATACCCTCAATGTGAGGCTGTTCCTTGCGATCAGTTTGAAGCTGCATTCAAGGTTTAAAATTATTTTTTATATAACAATCAGACCGGTTCAGTCAACTTTGCAAGCTTTATACCATTGGTTTATGTTTCACAGGCGGTTGAACTTTGGCTGGCTGATAAAGCAGTTCTTCCCATGGAGAACTCTCTAGGTGGAAGCATTCATCGTAATTATGACCTGCTCCTACAGCATAGGCTGCACATTGTGGGTGAGGTGCAATTGGCTGTTAAGCACTGCCTTTTGGGACTGCCAGGTGTTAGAAAGGAGGACCTAAAACGTGTCTTAAGCCATCCCCAGGTTTGTTCTTTCATTTGTTAAAAGAAGGCAGGCAGTATTTACATGGTATCAACAACCATTCTCTGAGAACCTTTGTGCATACATGGTTTCAGTATCATAAAGGAGAAAGTAGTAAATATTGGCTAGGGGAAATTTTCAACTACTAGATGTTTTTTTTTTGGGGGGGGGGTTGAGTCTTGGCTCTTGATGTTTAGTGATGAAAAGGGTGAGTACGTGTTCCACTGCATGCTAAAATCATAGAAAACAACTGTGCATACTCCACATAGATATCCAAGCTCTTCTTACAAATCAAAAGATGCTTGCTTGCAGGCACTTTCTCAATGTGAAAATAACTTGAGCAAGTTGGGTGTTGTCAGAGAAAGTGTGGATGATACTGCAGGAGCTGCTCAGGTACAGATGTCTCTTCTGCACCGTATTTGAGTTTTTCTGAAGTTATCTTGGAGGTTATTGTGCTTTTAAATGTGAGGACTCTGGGGCAGTTTGTAGCAGTAAATGGCCTGAGAGATACTGGAGCTGTTGCAAGTGCTCGAGCTGCAGAAATTTATGGGCTTAACATTCTTGCAGAAGGAATTCAGGTACTGATTTCTTTGGAGGTTTTTAGCACTATGCAAGTATGCATATTTTGTGAAAAAAATGACTCTCTGGCTCCACATATATTTATCTATTTACCTTGTACAAAAGTAGCACCTGGCAACTTGTTGCACTCTGATTTACGATAACATTCTTGCCAGTAGTGTTATCATTTTTTTTCTTCAATCCTTTAGGCTGTGTTTGGGAAGAGTACAAATACAAAAATGATTGGTTCAAATACACAAGGTTCAAAGTATCGATACACCTCGATATGGCGGAAGGTGTTTACCTGTACTTTGAACCCCAAACTTACATTTGTTTTTAGTTTTTTTCAAAACCTTTTCAGAGGGGTTGGTTTAAGGCATGCCTGCCCCATGAAATGGGGTTTGACCCCAAAAGACTTGTATTTTGCATATCGATAGGCCACCGATTCGATTCAATACACCTGATATGAGGCGTATCATGTCGAAATTTTGAACTTTGCAAATACAAATGTCTGGTTCAGAGAAATTAAAAGTTAGTTTAGCTTTGTAATGATAATTTTGTATTCTTGCCAAATAATTTTTAGTTGTGATAGGTACAAACATGAATCTTGAGTTTGGAGTCCACCTTTTTTTTACATTGAACAACTTGAGTGCAAAGTTTGCTCACATTTGCTCTCATTTGAATGCAAACATGTCTTGGAGTTCATGTTGGCTGTCATTATCAATGCACAAATGCATTCTTATCAAACACTTGCAAAACTGATCCAGAGTGCATATATGTGCTTAACTGGCATTTGCACTCTTCCCAAACACAGCCTTAAGTGAAAACTACATTAAATGCCATAATATTTATGATTATAATTATCAATCTATAGGAATTTCTGCTGTAATTATTCCCTCAAAGTGCATAGCACATTAATTTTTATTACCTATAATGATTTCCCATCTTTTGTCTTTTTAAACTATGTAACTGTGATTTAATGTATAAATAAAAGATAAAAAAGGTTTATCAGGTCCTCTATGTACTTTGCATGTGGGGAGCATAACTAGTTATATTTATCTATGTAACTTGTTATGTGTGTATGGTACATGTCCTTTCAACCAAGTTTTACATTCTCAGATATAAAGCTGTGTTTGGAATTGGGGGTGGGGAGTGGGGTGGAACCATGGAAGTAGAAATGGGGAATGAAAGTGCAAAATCAATGTATTTAGGAATGACTATGCTGTTATTTCTCCTACTTATTTGAAAAGCATCTAAATCAGCAGAAAATTTGGCAAAATGTCCCCTGTTTTCTGGATTCAGTACAGCCGTATATTTTGTGCAAAAAACATAACATGGAAAGTAGGGCCTTTTTTATGCTGTTTTTTCTATTTCCAAACCAACACAAACCGATGCTTAAAACCAGGAAGCTTGGAAAACTCAGTTTTCTGCCTACTCAATCCTGAACATAAAAATTGGTTGACTGGAAACTGACTTTATCAAGTCACTGATTTATATTTAAAATACTATATATAATATCTGTATTTTGTAATACGATAAAAGTCTTGGGGTGGACTGGAGTTTTTGTTTTGGAGAGATTTGATCCAAATTTGTCATCTGTAATCTCCTGATTTTGGTGATCCAATGATCTACATACGAAGTCAAGCTCTGACAGATTAATACCTAGTCTACAGCTGAACCTGCCAGGACTACTGATGACTCGATCCAGATTGGGCAATTCTCAATCCAGATCACCTGGTTTTAGACACTGACCCAAACACAATCTGAATTTTTAATGCTTTCAACCAAGCAACATCTTAACACTAGATAAAACTTTTCCTATTTTTCTGGTTAAGAACTACAACTTTTTTTAGTAGGGTTTTTCTATTTGAAAGCTATTTTAGCATTATGCATAATGGGTTTTGATGTATTTGTAAGAGATTGATTCAAAGATATGTCCACGGAAGGCTGGGATATGGTTTATTGTTTGGACCATGATTTTTTGTTTTGTTTTCATATATTTGCATAGCTGTTACCATCCATTACTGTTTTGAAATAAAATTTTTGTTACTTACAAAAAATGTACTCATAGTGTTTAGACCATGAAGGACATAATCATACTTAAAAAATTGTATTTCATATTAATAAAAGAGAAATAGAATGAAGTATGACAAACAAACTGCCATTTATTTATGACAACCTTTTTTGGATCTTTACCTGTGTTACTTGTCTTGTGGCAAGTAGTCATACTCATAGTGTTCAATTACTTAGGAATGTATTTGTGTTGCTTATAAATTTCCTAAAATACCAATGAGAATTTGAAATGATTCCATTGCATTCTCAATGTTCATGTTTTTTTTTTTTTTTTTTTTTTTCCGATCAGCAAAAGGAGAATTTTATTCAATTAAGAAAATCAGTTACAGAAGTACAGCAAGTAGAAAGCAGACATTGCACCACAGTGTTACAATAAAGCCCAGAAAAGCTATGCCTATGAACCTCCCTGTTTGGTAATTGCAGTTCTCCTGATCCATGTGAACGAGGCATTGAGTTCCCTTTCTAGGCTTACAATCTTCATTAGGGGATGTTTATAAATCCAAGGAGCATTACTGATAGGAATCGATCAGCACCCTTGAAGACTTATTCTAGAAAGAAGAAGGCCTTACAACAGGTCCTGATATGGCATAGTGATGGTACTTGGGATTTGGACTGAATTGAATACCAAGGGTATTTTTGTCATTTTTGCAATTTTCTGTGGGGTCCATTGATAGGGTTTAAATTGTCTAGTTATAGTTTGTTTATGTTTAAAATTTTAGAGTCATTGCATAAGTAGGATTAGAGTTATTGAGTCTTCTTTGAATTGAAATAGGATATGACAGCTTAGTTTGAATCCTACTAGGATTATTGAGTCTAACAGTTTTACTCCTAGGACTATTATGAGTCTAATAGTTTAACTCCTAGGATAATTATGAGTTTAGAGTCTGTAAATATGTATGGACGTTTTACACAAAGGCAATGAAATATATTGAGTTTTCTTCAGCTTATGCTAGCTATGGGGAGTGATTCCCATGCCCTAGAGTGATTCTAGGTATTTTCTCTTTTATTCCTTCAAGAAGCCATTACATCCATCAATAGCCATAAAACTTTGATCAAGAAGACCATTCAACATTCTCTAAGGACTAGAACTGAGCTGGTCCTACATCAATTTGGTATCAGAGCCAAGGTTATAGGTTGTTATCATCATGTAGTGGCAAGCAGTACAAGGGTCAGCTGACTGATACACAAAGGGATTCATTGATTTCTACCCTTTGCAAGAGAGTTGAAACCCTTGAAGCACAAGTAAAAGAACTTAAAGAAGATAAAGAAGAAGAAATACAGCAAGAAGCACCTCTAATCAATGAAAGGGATGGAGGACGRAAYARYGGAGCTGTCCATGAAGATGATAATGGTGAAGATGAAGGATCTGTTAATCTTAGAGGACGACAAAGAGCTGCAAACTGCACAAGGGTACCACCTGCACAAACTAATCGAACCCGAAATACCCATCAAGGGATTGATCAAGAAGCATCGCTCACAAATTTATTTGATGAGATGATGGAACAAGCTGAACATGGTGGTTATGCAAACAATATAACCAAGAAGGTAAAGGATGTTTCTGATTTCAATGGAGATTTAGACCCTCAATCTTTTTCAGATCGGCTGGCTGCATTGGAGGAATATTTTGACTGGTATGACGACTGATGATCGGAGGATCAGATTTGCACGTATGAAGCTTGGCGGTCATGCTAAAGTATGGTGGAGAAGCATGGAGCGACGATTGGAGAATAGAGGTGATGATCCTATTTCTACATGGTCAGAAATGAAGAAACATTTGAGAGACAAGTGCCTCCCAATGGACTTCTAAGATGAGTAATATGAGGAATTGACTAACCTCAAGCAAGGTACGCTACTGTAGTTGAATACATGCGTAAATTTGATGAATTATCTATTAGATGTGATACTACTGAAAGTGAGAGGCAAAAGTTTGCTTGCTTCAAGAATGGACTATGGGCTGAAGTCAAGAAAGAAATGGTAACGGCTGGAGTCTTTGTCTCTTTGACTTAGAGGATGCCTATCAAGTTGCTGTCAAAATTTAGAAGAGTTTAAAGCAAACAAATACAAGGCAATTTGTATCACAAGCCGGGGAGTATGCAGCTCGTAAGCAAGCTGATGGGGGAAAGACTTCTAGGCTAGCATATTCTAATGCCATCTCTAATAAGTGTAGTGGGTCTAGACCTTATCAAGGGGTTGACTATAAGAATAAATCAATTGCTAGTGGTGTTACTCACAAAAAAACAGCTTGATAGTTGTTTTAGATGTAGAGGAAAGGGCCATATGGCTTACCAATGTCCTACCAAAAGCCTTAATATCATTTATACAGAAGGCATTGAAGTGGTAGGTGATCCAGGTGATGACTTAGCTGAAGAAGAGGATTATTCCTTCACTGATGATGATGCTTTAGATGAAGACAGAAACTATGTTGGTGTAGTTCGGCGTATTCTTACATCCCCAAAGGAAGAAATCAAGGAAGATTGGCTTCGTACAGCAATATTTCAAACTATAGTAAAAAGTGGAGACAAGTATTGTAGGCTTATCATAGATGGTGGCAGTAGTATGAGTGTGATTTCTGAAGTCACTGTGGATCGGCTAAAGTTGACACCACAACCACACCCACAACCATACAAGATTGCTTGGGTTGATAAGACAGCAATTCCGGTAACCAAACGAGCCCTTGTTACTATTTCTTATGGTAGTTATTCTGATTCTATTTGGTGTGAGTGTGATATTATTCTTATGAATGTTACACACATATTGCTTGGAAGGCCTTGGTTGTATGATAGGGATATCTACCATTGTGGAAGGGAGAACACCTATCACATCCTATTTAATGGGAAGCGAGTTATCATGAAGCCAATGTCACCAGAAGTTATTAAAAGGCATGCCAGACCACCTCAAAAGGAGACTACAACCCAAGGGCCCGTTGCTGAATCTAAGAAAAAACATT